AGGAAATTATGAAATGCTCAGTTGAAAGCAAGGGAGATTGTCTGTTAAAGTGGACATAAAAACAAAAGTTTGCTGCGGTGTTATTGGAAACCAAATTTTAACAACAAATCGCCGGCATTATATCCTAGAAGACACAGACCAGTGCCATTGGGAGCATGCCCGGAGCTTAAAAGAAAATGCCAGACGAACTAGGGATTGGACAGTTTCCAAGTGCTTGTACAATCGATGGAAATGTTCAAATAAATGTGCAAAAGAAATAAACAAAAAAATAATTTATTCCTCTATCATATTTGCTAGCTAATGTCCTCTCTTTGAGAGTTATTTGTGGCTGTGTTTCTGCATGCGTAGCAACGATTGACTATATTCTCAGTTGTAGGAATGTAAACAGCTTAATCTTCGTTTTAAATAAATGTTTTTAATTACAATTCATTCTACACAGTAATTGCATATTTGGTGACCATTTCATAAAACTTTGATGCTTAAAATGTTTAGGGAGAAATGGAAGACTAGTTTGTATTTTTCCTTTAAACTACCAAGACCAGCCATATACAGTACAGTTTACCTACATTAATATGTTTATGTTCCTAAATTAATATTGTTTATGGCCTTCAGGTGAGTTATGCTCCTCTTCTTCTTATGCTCAGCTACTAAAATTTCCCTTTAGTGGTAAAATTTCATATAAATATTCAATACTAAGCGGATTAAATTGTGCACTGTAAAGAGATTAAATGATTAAATCTTTTCACTACTGACCAATGCACCATCAGTGCCCCTGTCGGTCACTTTGGCCAGCCAATCACGTACCGCGGTACGGCGTGGTGGCGCACGCATAGTTGCCCGCAGTATGGGTTTGTACCGTGCATTTTGAATGGCTGCATCTGTATTCACGTTTGCTAATTCACATTTTTATTTCATTAGTAATTTCACTTAACACTGAATATTTTATAATATATAAAAAATGTTAATATGCTGTATATAAAATTTACTATTTTATTTTTTAAACGTCTCTGAAGAAAAACTTGTGCTCTAAGCAGGTAGTGAACTGAGATCACCTAGACAGAACCCCTACTGACAAACCCACTGTACCAAGAGGCTGCTTGGAAACACAGATGAGACAAACAGCTGAAAAATGTTTCAATCATGCGTGAATGAGTCAAATTAATAATAAAACATGTATACAAAGAAAGTGGATTACGGTAATACTACCAGCTATATAAATACATATGTTTAGATCCTTAAATTAATAGTTATTATTTTTTTTAGATAAGTGATTCCATATATTCCCTATTTAGCAGATTCTAAAAGAATGTGTTTTTTTATTCATATTCATAGAAAAGGTTAAAAGATACAGCATTTTATAAAGTATATAAACTTAATATAGTCAGAATGAGCATGTCAAAACTTTTCCAAAATAAGCCCAGAAATTGACAGAGTAAAAGACTTTGATGCATACAATTTTTATGAAGAAAGTGGAATACTGTTGTGTATTTTTATTTAAACTACCACTACCAGCAATATACAGTAGGCATAATATTGTAGCGCTCTTGCCCGGTGGTGAGGAGGAAACGCACCTAGGCATTCAGGGTACTGCGAAGCAGGCTGGGAGTTGTAGCCGAGGGGAGTCTGCACGATGACCAGCAGCTGACCCTGCTTATGTAAATACTGTAGTGTTACATTAGTAACATATCTGTGTTGTCTTCTGTTAATGAGTTACCACCCTAAACCTGTGTGCGTGTTCCATCGGTCCCCTTATATGTGTGTAAATCCTGTGTTTGGGTTTGGTGTTGAAGGGAGAATAAAAGGGATTGCTTGTTTTCCTATCATGTCTCCATTTGTCCTTTGTCTTGTGTGAACTCAAAAACATTACCTTGGTGTCATAAGTGGGCAGGATGGACAACCTGTAGTAGACGCTAGTGGACTCTGTCAAGTGCTGACTGACCCTGAAAGCCTGAGCAACTCCTGGGTGCAACAGGTGACCTCAACCCTTACAAGGACTACTCAGTAGTGGTCCCGTCAGTGGAACTAGGAGAAGCCCTCCCCGCCGAAGCTGGCCAGCTGTCCCCACACCCGTCAGCACGGGTACAACGTGGACACTATGACAGGGAAGTGTCTTGGGAGACATATGAGGCGCAGTTCCAGCTCACGGCTTGGACAAATGGCTGGATGAAGCGGCCTGCCAGGTGCTCCTTGATGTCCTGGAGAAGGACCGTGGCGACTATACGGCTGAGTTTCAGCATGGAAGAGGCATCGGACCTGATGCGGGAGAGCCTGGCTCTGCGGTGGTGCCGACCAAGAGAGCGACTGGGCCCGGTCACTGATGTCATGTTCCTCGCCCGCCGGGAATACTCAGCTTTCCCCCAGGAGGTGCAGCAGGAGATGGCTCTCCAGGCCTTCCTCAAGGCCCTCTCACCCGAGGAGCTGCGGTGCCAGCCTCACTGGAGCAGGCCTTGGCTCCTGGAAGTACCACTAGACGGAGTGCACCAGCTTGCAGCAGTCCGGGCGAAACAGATGCTTGCCATCCGTCTGGGTACAGTAATGGTGCGCCACCCCTGCTACCTCGCACCCATCCAGGAGGACTGCATCCTGGGGCTGGACCTGCTGCAGCGGGTGGGGGCCAGTTTGGACTTGGACTGGCAGAAGTTGGTGTGGCAGGGAGAGGACTTCACCTGGTGGAGGGCAAGCCTGGCAAAAGCGGGGGAAAAAGTGGCAGTGCCAGCAATGTCAGCGGCAGTCACCGGGGCGGACCAGGACTGCGAGCCGGGGAGCAAGCATGCCGGATCCTGCCCCCGAGTCAACTGGGGGGCCAGCTGGGGGAAAAAGAGGCAGTGGCAACAGCGATGGGCCCTGAGTCACCTGGGGGGCCAGACAAGTCGGCGGTGGCAGGGGCCTAGCATTGCATGAAAGCAAGTCATGCTGTTGAGGACCTGTACCAGCGAAGCGGTTGCAGGTGCTACTCGCCCAGAACGAGGACCTCTTGGCGGTAAGGGATGAGGAACGCACCCGCGCTGCCCTGGTCCAACACGATATCGACACCATTGACGCTCGGCACCATTGATCTGCATCCCAGCGGGACACATGGCTCACGCCAATCGGACTGCTGCCGAGGAAAAGATCCGGGAGATGGCTGCAGTGGGGTTGATTGAGCCCTCCGCGAGCCCGTGGTCGGTGCCAGCTGTACTGGTCCAAAAAAAAGACGGCTCGTGGAGGTTCTGCGAAAACTACAGCAAGCGGAATGAGGTCACTTGGAAAAACTCCTACCCCCTGCAGAGGACAGACGATGCCTCGGACTACATCACCGTGTCGACCTGGTTCAGCTCCCTTAACCTCCACAGCGGCTACTGGCAGGTACCGTTCGCTCCTGATGCTTACCCAAAGACAGCCTTTTCCATCAGCCAGGGCCTCTGGCAGTTTACTGTCATGCCGTTTGGCCTGTGCAATGCCCCGGCGACCTTCGAGAGGCTGATGGAGTGGGTGCCAGCATCGGTCCCGCGGAACCAGTGTGTGCTGTACCTGGATGACCTGCTGGTCCATGCCTGGGGCTTTGACCAGGCCTTGACAAACCTCCAGGCAGTGCTGGCCTGCATCCACCATGCTGGCCTGAGGCTCAACCCCCACAAGTGTGAGCGCCTGCGGAGGGAGGTGACCTTCCTGGGACATATTGTTGGACTACGAGGGGTGGCTACAGACCCAGGTAAGGTTGCCGCAGTAAGGGGCTGGCTGACTCCTCGCACCGTCGCGGAGCTGCGCAACTTTCTGGGGATGGCCTCGTACTACCAGAGGTTCGTCCGGGACTTCACTAGCATCGCTGCCCCGCTGCACCGCCTCACCGACAAGGGACGTTTCGAATGGGACTCAGGCTGTGAGATGGCTTTCGGACGGTTACACGAAGCTCTAGTGGGGGCCCCCGTGCTGGCCTACCCCGACCCACAGTTACCTTATATCCTGGATACTGACGAGAGTGATTCGGGGTTGGGCGTGGTGTTGGCGCAGGAGAGGTCGGATGGGGAGTGGATGGTCGCATATTACAGTAGGGCTCTGAATAAGGCCGAATGGAACTACTGCGTGAGCTGTCGCGAGCTGCTGGCAGTCCGCCACTTCAGGCCGTACCCGTTTGGGACCCGGTTCCGGCTGCGGACCGACCATGCATCCCTCACCTGGCTGCTCCACTTTAAGGAGCCGGAGGGGCAGATGGTGCAATGGATAGAGGTCCTGCAGGAGTACGCTTTGCCCGAATCTTTTCATTTACAACCAATGAACCACAAGTGCCACCTGTCGGTCATTTTGGCCAGCCAATCAGTACTGCAGTATTCCTTGCTGTTCTGCAGATAAATTCATTTCACTGCACATTTTGAATGGCTGAATCTGTATTAGGACTGCTGAATATGTTTCTTAAGACTTTTGCCCAGCAGTGTACTCTAATTACTGTGTGATAAAACTATAAATATATAAATATAATACATTTTAGTTTTTAATACATACACTATTTTAAAATATTTTATAATGATAAAATCATTATTATCAGAAAGCTGCTTATTCCTGGTAAGGGAAATAGTAAACACAAGTATTCATCTTTTTCAAGCAGTAAACCTACTTTAGACAGAAATTGTGATATTTTCAGAATACAAGCAATCAAACACTTTATAAACCCGTAAAAGGAAAAACAACAACTTATGTATATAAATGTGTTTGCATTACAGGTCCTTTACAGGACTATTAGTTAATCCTTATATTAATAATTAGAGGGGGAATTTGTTCCGAGTTTGATAGCAAGGCAAACAAACAATACAAATGAAGGAATGGATCCATTCAATTTTAAATTAGGATAGTTAGATCATCTTACAGAAAATAAAGACAAGTGAATTTTACCATGTTTTAAATATTTAACTTTTTATCTGCAATATTTCAGAAAGAAAGAGGAAGTAGCTTTCTCTTAAAAAAATCACTTTGGTATTTATAATACAGCATCAAAAACTGATATGGTTAAGAGCTCTGTGGTCTACCTGGTTGGCAGCGTGCAACACCCATCTGCAGTGAGTCTGATCTGTGTCTCAAAGCTGTCTGGGGGGCACTGGACTTGCTGAAGAGGAGGGCATTCCACAGTGCTGCAGTCCACACTGAATACTGTTGTCGAGAAACAAAAACACACAGTTAGTAGAGCTATGTGAGGGCTTGAAGGAAAAAAATATGAACCATGGGAAACAAATGTAAAACAAGGATGAGTTCATTAAAAACTGAGACAGGAGGTATGGATTACATGTTATTTTCTTGATTTTGTTTGTTGTTAATTTATACCACAAATTCCTGAAAGGAAGGACCGTCTAACAATTTAACTTTACAATATGGGTTGCAATAAAAAAATAAACGAGAAAAAAATATTTCAATGACATGGTCTTGCAGTATTAAAGTGACCACTGAAAAAATCAAAATTTACCAAGATCAATTCCATGATCAGACGTAAAATAATACGTATTTTATGTCTCCATCATGATTTACAAAGGTGAAACTACTATGTGCTGTCCATCTGTGTCTGGTTTTCAGTGTGCTAGGTGTTGTGTGAGAATACATATTATCTCTACATCACTGTTCATTTTAATATGGCAGGGCTCTGCATTTAGTGGCCTGTTCAGCACATCATATTTTCAGCAAACATTAAATACTGATGTTTAGTAAAGTAGGTCTCATGTGGCACATCTAAAACACCTGACATCTATTTTTGCTCTTGCCTCTTTATTTTTGCACATTATGACACAGCTGCAGCTAAGGATGTTTGACTATTTTACTAAGACCCACTGATCCAGAGATTGCTTGTAAAGGAAAAAAGCAGTTGAGCTGCAAGACCCTGTTACTGAAAACACCACTCACTACAAATATGTAGTCTGTATTTTCAAAGCTGCTTCTAGCTTCTTGTAACTTTCACTTTATATATGAAGCAACAAGTGAGACAATGGTATTAGTTCTGTATTTTTGCAAACGATGCAGTCTTGTGTGGTCTAATGTTGGTTTTATGCCCAGAACATAAAGCGAAATTAGTTAAAGCTAAGAGAAATGATCTAAGATATAAAATACTTATTCTACATGTTTATTATAAACTTTTTGCTCAGACATTTATACAGGGAAATTATTCTTAATTGTACATTTGAGCATTTTGTCATGTATCACTAGGTAAGCTCATTGAGACACAGTTATATGGGCGGTGCCCTAAACAGTTTGCTTCACTAATCTTTGCATGAACTTTATGTGATGTATATCCATATATAGGCATACGTCTGTATTACTAACTATTAGGGAGGGTGTCACTTTATCTTGTTTGTTTCACAGTATAAAATACCATCTTTAGTTAATTATTTCAAGTTTGGTGGTTGCAAGCCATTCTCCCATATGCAATAAAGAGACTTCCACTACACAGACACCTGGACTTTGTCATTTGTATGACACAACAATTTTAGCACTGCAAGCAGGGTACTCCCAGCTGACGGAACTCCGTCAGAGAGGTGGAGAGGAAAAGCTAGGTGGCCACTTTTAAAAAAAGGTAAGGACTCTTCTTTTCTAAAAAGTCCCTTATCCTCTCCATGTTGCTGTTGAGAGTTTTTTTCTGAAGGTGAATGAGCACAAAAGAATAATGAGTTTATGGTGTATGTGATTGTAGACGTTTGATAAGTGTGCCAGCTGGTCTCCCAGTTGAAAGATACTGGCAAAGGATGGTGGGGTCGAGATAGAAGAATCGCTGAGGGATATCATTCCGCCTGGTTAGAGCGGTAAACCCAGGACTGATGCACCTGGTGCGCATGTAGAGAACTGTAATTGGCATATGGTGTATCCTTTCTCGTCAGCTGTTGTGGTGATGTTATGGTGAGAACAGTAATTGCTGTAGGCTGTGTTCTCTTTAGTTGTTGTGGAGAAGCTGTGATCTCAGGGTGGTAACCTGAACTGTACATGTAGTGGAGCCAGGGATGGTAACTTGGCTCTCTAAAAGCTCTCTAAAAAGGAAAAAAACTTGGTCCGTGTGTTATGGTAACTAGCATAAAAGGTGCTGAACACGTGTGTGGTCACGGAGGATAGACGTGAAAATGGTTTGGTGTGACGAAAAATTAGAGAAGGTTTCTGACCGGGTTTTAGAGAAAAATAAATGCAAAGTGAAACTAAAAAAGAAATATGGACTGTCAGACGGAATATGGTCTGAACAGGAATGTAGAAAAATGTATAAACAATGGGCTAAAAAAAGTAAACAAAGACAGGTCTTATTTTAGGGAAACATTTGAGAAGTGGGACCTGCGGCAGCGGATGCGGTGGTTGCACAGCTTTGCCCGGACCCACCTGACTCAGGTGGGAGTCCGTCAGAAGTACAACCTGCACTACAACCTGCGCTGCAGGGGGCCTGCCTTCCAGCCCGGGGACTTGGTTTGGGTGCACAGCCAACGCCGCCGCAAAGGCCTCAGCCCTAAGCTAGCGCCGTCGTGGGAGGGGCCCACTGAGGTTCTTGGGGTGATGGGCGAGGTCTGCTACCGGGTCTGGTTGCGAACACAGGGGAGAGTGGTGGTCTTGCACCGAGACCGCCTGGTACCCTACCAGGTCTGGGAGGAGGAGCCCCGCGGGGAGGCTCTGGAGGAGCAGTCGGGGCCGGAGCCAGCCAGACAATGGGGCGTCCATGGGCCGCAAGCCGCCACCGAAGCGCATCGGCCGCTAACGCAGAGTTCCACAGCTTTTAGCCGAGTATGAGTAAAGCCTGAGGGGGTGTTCGATGTTGGCGGGACACCAGATGCTTCAGGTGGGGGCAGTGTAACGCCCTCGCCCGGTGGTAAGGAGGAAGCGCACCTAGGCACTCATGGTACCGCGAAGCAGGCTGGGAGTTGTAGCCGGGGGGAGTCTGAGGGTCAGCACGATGACCAGCAGCTGACCCTGCATATGTAAATAGTGTAATAGTAGTTTTAGTGTCCTTTATTAGGAGAATAAAGCAGTTGCTTGATTTACTATCACGTCTCCACTTGTCCTTTGTCCTGAGGGAACATGAAAATGCTACAGTATTAATAATGAATGACCTTGGACAAGCTGTAAACTCAAAGTATTACCCCGGTCCACATTCTTTGTAACCATCTTTGTAAACGAAAACACTTTATTTTTTCATTGACAGAAAGTAACACCACAGCATTTCTTTGATCCAATCATGCATTAGTTTCCAATCATACAAAGTCTTGAGAATCTCCGATTCACCGTGCCTTTCACATGCTCATAAAAGATATTAATTTAAGAACAAAAACATATTACCGTATGTAATATGTAATACAGTACATGTAAACTGTACTGTATATGTACTGTACTGTATATGGCTGGACTAAACATTTTAAGCATCAAAGTCTTACAGTACATGTGGTACAGTACAGTACTAAACGTTTTTACATGCTCCTTCTGACCATATTACTGTACATTTCTATACTTGTGAAAATTGATTGTTTTAACCTTTTCTGCGAATTCGCTCGTTATCGGATTAAACAAAAGCATACTTTTAGAGTTGGATTAATAGGGAATGTAATATGGATTTGCTTATCTAAATAAATTAATAATGGTATAACTATATTCATATACTGTTGCACAAACAGTAGTATAAAACTTTCCATTGATGTGTATGGCTGTTTCAGTGGTTATCACATGACTTGCCTTGGTGGCGTGATAGCTTAAGTGACTGATTTATAACCCTGAGGTCGGGTATTCACACCTAGCTGTCGCCATGAGTTTTCTTTTAACAAAAAAACATTTCTTTGAAAAACTAAAATAGCAAATATTATTGGCATTATATTGACCTTTTTTATATTTCTACATATCACAACATGTTCATACTGTATGTACACAGCTGTACCACAGGGTGTAGGGCGCAAATCCACGTGAGCCCAAAAGCCCTACATTAATGTTGTGCATTCGCCTGGCGCTGTGCGGTTTTCGCATCTTTCTCTCTCTCTGGGAGTGCTGGCTGTGCCTCTGATTCTGAGTCTCTGTGTCTACATTGTTTGTAAACAAACCGGTTTCACGGGTCTTTAAGTAGAATATGGCGAGTCTTCCAGTGACACTCCACCTTCCCCCACGGACACATGTTTTCTCAGAAAAACAGATTCACAACTTGAAGCTGTGCCAGTCTTCTGTGTAAAACAAATCAGTTTGAACACCATGGGGGCTGTTTTTAATAAGCTGCTGAGTAAAGAATAGGAATTTTCCTCCTGTCAGCAGTATTGTGTATATAGTTTTATGTACAGGCTGCAAAAACTTTCACAAGTAGAGGTCTTTAAAATTAGGCCAGGCAAACGATTTGTTTAATTCTTAAAAAATAAATAAAAAACGAGATATGTTTAGACATTGCACGACTTTGAAAGCTATAAAAACAGGTTTTGATAATGAATAAACACTCTTTGTGTGCGAAAAACTGGTGATTTTTCTTCCTCGTGATCAGCTTAGAATCTCTGTCTACGCTGTATGGTTTTTACTTCTTAATTAAACGTATAAAATACACAAATTTCATAAAAAAGACATGCATTTCAGATAGAAAAAATCATATTCTGTCATCTTCCTGGTATGTAGAACAGATCAGCAGGTCTTTTTTCCTCAATCAGAGGCTCTGAAAACAGCATGCCGCCCACTGCGCTGCATCATAGGGGGAGGTAGCACCGGGAAGGACAAAGCACGGAGCTCAGTATTGCACAATGGCTGTAAAGCACCAATTGCGTCTGCGTTCATTACTTATTGTTTAAAATTAAACAATGTAAATCATTTTCTTTGACTTCTAAGTCCCTTACTTATCCTTAAGCACAGGTTTCTTTTTTGATACCATCGTTAGACAAAGCAGGAACTTATTGTACTTTCTAATGACATTACACGTGGAAAGATGACAGATTACACATTTTTATTGATTTTAATTTTTTTATACATTTTAGAAAAGATTCATCTATGCATACACCACAAAAGTATTCTCGATTGTATTTCTGAATGCTATATATTAAAAAAACTTGCAGCTTACTCAACGATTCTAAGATTATTTTTTAGATGTTTTTTTATTTTTAATTATACATTTTAAACACTTTAATTTTGAGAACGCAACACACATTCCGTACAGATACAGTACAGTCACATTCTCCTGT